GTGACGTAGGCTATAGTATACCCTATTATATTTTATGTTCTTTTTTATGTTTATAATATTAAGTAAGAGAACCTACGATACGTTACGTTTTAAGGCAATTTATACGATTTTCATCTTTATGAGGTACGATTATGCATCCAACAAACTTGTAAATAATTTAATATGTAAATAGTCCTGTTATTCTGAGTGTTGTATTGTAAAATAAAGTAATTAGAACAAAACGAAACTCGAGTCATAACAGATGTTGTCCGCCATTGCTTCTGTGGTTAACGTCACGTTGTAATCCAACTGCAGTTGAGTTGGACGGCAATTGTAGTTCAAGATGAGCTTTCGATGACGTATACTATCAAACTCACAGATGGACCAATCAGAGGTTAGCGCTGATTTCCAGCTGACGGCGTCCTGTCCTAAGAAACCAGGCATTTAGGCGGCTAGTCAGTAATGAAAACGAAAATGAGTGTAAACCAAAGAACTTGTGAACAGTTAATTTAATCTACAAATGCATTTCAAATAGTTTTTTACTACCACTTGGGAAATACTTCCTCAGAAAGAGTGACAGTTCTCTCGCGTGGTGAGGCTTTTAAAATATTAGCAAAATTAGCTAAAACTTTAAACGCCTAACTTTTTAATTGTCTACTATTTTATAAAGTATTTTCCAAAATGCATAGTGGTTTGCAGCCCTATATTTTTTTCTGCGTTTTTATTTGAACAAAAAAAACAACTTCGCATTACCACTGTTTACTTATTTTTGTTTTTCCTGTTAGTGTTCGACTCATCTGGAAAAATAGCAAATGGGGTGATTGGTGGAAATCCCACAGCGTTTGGTGATTTCGACACTTGTCTTGAAATAGAATCTCCAAGTGGAAAATTTAAAGGACAGTATTGCCATATTGATTTTGTTCCTTTATTGCCGAAGAGAGAGCTGATGACACCAGCAGAAAAGCCAATAGAAATCATTAATACACTATTTGAGCCTGGCACAGTAAATAGCCTATCTTTAAACGAATCTTTGTGTAACTCAACATATATGATTGGTTAATCCCAATATCATTTCATACGTGTACATACCTGCCAACTTTTACCACGGTTGCTACGGCAACTAAAAATGCAAAAAGTGGTGGCTAATAAACTTCAAAATTCTAAAGGGAAAAAATCAATTCAATTTCCATAGCATATTTATTTCAGTTTATTTGTAAAACTGAAAGCAAAGAATTTTAATGTGTTGAATATAAATAATTCAAAATGCGCGTCATAGCGTTAGTTATGATTGAATAATTAAAAAGCTATCACATAAATAAAAATGAATTGAAATTCCATCACTTTTTATATTTTTATTCGCCTATGACATCCTTTTTTTATGGTTTTCGAAAATTAGTTTTCCTCGTGGTAGAGAATATCACTAGTTAACAATCAATTAAAATTTGATTGTAAGCTAGTGCTATATTAAAATTTAGCCGACTCTTAAAAACAATTTATACAGGGAAGCCACAGGCTACTAAAATTCTTAGAGGTGGTCGAAGGCCATTTCTTTTTTTATTTATTCAATTACGACTTACATTGAAATTATTATTGTTCAAATTCATAATGAAAAACAAAAAGAGAGAAAGGGCGTAGCCTCATGGATGCTGACTGGTGATTGGCCGTTGGTGTAAATCCAAGTTGAATTGCTTGAAGTTTGATCAGGAGCTCTAGCTTTTACGAGTCCAAGTAATAAGTTGAAGACATCTTCATTTTAAATAAGTTTTTCTAGTTCTGTGAGGAGTAAAAGGAGTCGAGCAGTTGGTGCGACATCTTTTTCTTTTAATCTGATTGATGTTCTTAGATCTGGTCTCTCTTTTGTGCAGAGGTATCTTCGGTTGGGCACTGCACATTTTATATATCGGGCTTCATTGGTTTAAGAACGTTGGGTATGGCCAAGTAGCATTGGATTTAACCACGCCCATAGCGGAAAAGCTCGATCCTGAATTCTCGATAACAGTAGGCTGTGTAGTGTTCTTCAGTTTAGTGCGGATGTTGTTTTCCTCTTAGCAGATTACGATAAAATTTAGAGAGTTCATTAGGGGTCTGTTTTTTTTCCATCAGTCCTGATCTTCATTCGAATAATCTTGATGGGGAAATGTCTAAATTGATTTAGACATATTTCTAGTTCAGCCGAAATTGTAGATTTTGTGAAACCACGAGAGAGGATTTTTACACTTTTAGGCTGGGTTGGTGGGCAGTTCTTGTTTGTTTCTTGCACTTGGGGTAAATCATCAGGAGTAGGTGAAGTTTCTTTAAATAAGATCTTAATTTTTTTCTGTTTGGAGGAGAGGAAGCAGGGTTAGGTGACTTTGAAGTAGTATCAATCAGGAGTAGTATGTGATGGAGCGGTGTTGGAGGCATCCATTTGAGAAGGGCAATTTGTTTCAGTTGGTTCATGGGAATCGTTAGGCTAGGATGACTTTAGAGATTTTGTTGTTTCTGGTCCGAAAAGAGGCCTTTCAGGCTTGCTTGATTCCTCAGCCGTTGTCTTTGCCCTCAGTTCCGATTTAATCAGCAAGTAGCCCTCGAAGGAAGCAGGTGGATCTAAAGACGAGGTCATGTAGGCGTTGTTCATTTCGGAGATTGTTCGAATGTTCTTTGATGCTGTCTTGTGAGTGTTTAATATAATTAGTTGATGTGTTGAGGGGTGGCATTTCCTCTTGCTGCAGCAAGGACACTCTGTTTGAAAATAACATGATCTCTGATCTCATCTTTGTTGGTGTATCGCTGTATAATATGGGTTGAGGGAGACGGAATGAACCGCTTTCCCCCCGCGGTCAAATCTCTTTATAGACATGGTGAAATTGGGGCAAGGAACTTGGATGATACAGAACCGCTACCTACGGAGTCAGAAGTTTTTTTACACAATTGCCACTTGACTTAATAGGTGATGAACAAGAGTACCTGACCGTGAAGGGATCATCTCACTCATTCATCTATAATTCACGTGATGTTACTGGGACTATTGGCATTAGCATAAGGAATCAGAGTGTTGGCTGTGCAGCCACTGACGATTACAATAAGATCTGAGTTAACACAATTGCCAGTGATAAGTCTATCTTATACAGATTAAAATTCTTTTTCACTGTAGTGGTAGTCAAAAAAATTTTAAACTGCATTTATTAAATGCAGAATGTTTTTTTATTAAATGAATTTTTGCACCACATTAAATTTAATCTTTCGAATGTGCTGGTATGCACGCGTAACTTATTTACCGAACACTATTTGTTTCACATATTTTTATCCTGTAACATAATAGTTTTAAATAACCATTTTATTTGCTACAATTATTTCCGATTGAATCTATTACCGACGTTTTTTGAATTATATTATCTTTTGTGTTTTATTCTGTATATTCTTGGATTTACAGAATATATTAAATTTACAGAATATATCTTGTATATTTTGCATTTTTTGCTTAATTTGTTCAATTTTAGTTTCAATTCTTTTGGTGCTCCTCATACTGTGATTTTGATACATTTCTCTTTGATTATATTAATACAATATTTAAGAGCACTCTTTTTAGCAGATATAATCGTGTCTGCTGGTGATGATCTTTTTCTTATTATGCTTTTCGATTTTTCAAGATGCAATTTTTTAATTTTTTTTTTAAAAAAATATCTCGTTTTACTCTCGTTTTTAATAGTTTTTTTTTGTCTTCTCTTTTCTAAAAAAGAAACTTCTAAGTACTTATTGCAGCTTATCCGCAATAAATGAAACTTATCGTTTTTTTTCTAAATTTTCTTCGTTAATTTTTCTTTTCTTTTATTCTTCTTTGTAATAATTTTTATTTTCTTAAAAATGATACAAAGATTGTTTTAAGTAGGAACAATTTTGTAATGGAGTAAGAGAAACGTTATACATGAGCTTAACTTGCATCAAAATCTGAAATATGAACATTTATATACTTTTTTACATAGACACGATTAACATTGAAACTTTCGTGAAGTCGTGGCACCAGCTTTCAGATCCTATTATCAACGAGCTCTGCCGTCGTTAAACCAGTTAGTAGCAGTTTCTTTCAACATGCCATCATTTTCCAAGCGCTTTTCACCAAGAAATTCCCCAAGTTTTGGAAACAGATGAAAGACTGAAGGTGCTAAATCAGGGCTGTATGGTGGAGGATCCACTACTTTTCATTCATGACAATAGGCTATCACGATCGTTCTTTTTTTTTATTGCAAAAGCACTTGACTTTACATCATTGGATGATCGTTCTTCATCATGAACATTTGCTCTTCCTCCGCTAAAAAGCCTACACCATTTACACACATTTTGCTCTTTCATTACACCTGCACCATAATGTTTAAGAAGCTGCCGGTGAACTTCCCTAGGATTAACTTTTCTTGCCTTTAAAAACCGAATAATTGAGCGCTCTTAATGATCGGTGGGATTATTGATAGGCATGCTGACAAACGTAGCAGTATAATCATGAAACCAACACCAGCAGAGATGTGAAACTAAATGGTAACGTAGCGAGAGACTTGACAAGACTAAAATATATATATATATATATATATATATATAAGATTAAAAAAAATAATAGGTTTCATTTACTGCACTAAAAAAAACTACAAAAACAAGGAAAAAAACCTTTTTAAAGAGAAGAAAAATTATTAATAAATAAAATGTTTTTAAAAATATTTTTAAAAAAATTTAAAAAAGCTGGAAAACAAAGTAAAGAAAAAAATAGTAGCATCATCAGCTCACACTATTATATCTGCAAAATACAGTGTTTTCTAATATTGTATTAATATATAGCCAACGCAAAATACATAAATTCAATATATCAATAGAATATGAGATTATTTAATAGCGTGCACTTTTATAGATATATTACAGCNATGACTGCATATATATATAAAATTCAAATATGGTAAAAAAAAATTTCATTTTTTCGACAGTGATGCATTTTATACTACGATAAATTTTTTGAAGAATAAAAAAAAAAATCCGAGTTCCACTGAAATAAGTAGTCGTCGTGTAATATTAAAAATAAAACAGTTTTCAGCAGAATTATGATATTTTCTGTGGACTACCAATGCTCAATTCTGTAGCCTTGTAACTTTGAACCCAATCAAGTATTGGGAGAAATTTACCATCGCAGATGACTTTTTGACGGAACTAATTCGCATTTGCGTTACATGGAGTGGTAAACTAAGGAAGCCTCCCACGGTGAGTCTGACGGCCAGGGGACTCTAACCCATGATCCGCCTACCGCTGAGGATATTTTACGTCAGGACTGTGGTCCTTGCGAGCCGGGAGCAGAATTGGTATCGTTTAGCCATGGCTGAGATTCGAATCCGGTTCACCGAATTGGAAGGCGAACGCGCTATCCGTGGTTCTTAAGTAACTCATAGTGGTAGTCACGGTTCCATAAACAATAAGGTCATGAATAAACAAATTTTAATCGAGTTTCTATCACGTTTTAGACGCCTGTGTCACCACTGAGAACACTGCTGCTTTCAAATGATTTATTACATTCTCTAAAATTCCGTACTGTGAATAAAATTTCAAAAAATAAAAAGTGGGAACTAAACATTTTGGTGATATTCAGTAAGTATTTAATAATTGATGAAATATTCTATTTGTAAAAATTTTGAGCATTCCACTTGCAGCCGTATGTTATAAAATAAGTTTCCTCTTAATCTAATTATAATATTTTTTTAAAAGGTGTAGATAAGTGATCTTGAAAAAATCATGTTTATTTTTTTAACTATTCTAGTTGTCTGACACCTTAGCAAAAATGGCTTATTATCTCTATATTACTCAAATACGCTTAAATGCCTGTCTCCCTTCAACTTGTTCAAAAGAAGATTTAACAGCCTTGTTTTCTAGCGGTATGTAAAATAAGTTATTTCTGTATGCTTTTTTTATTCTAGATTTTATAATAACGATAAAAGGCATACCATAATGTCAAAACGAAATTCCTTTTAAGAGAAAAAGAAGGAAAAAAAACAGTAACACTAAAAGTAAAATCTCAGCGTTTTTAACTTGCATTGATTCAACATTGTTTAATCTAACTTCCAGATTAAGTTTCCATATCTGCTATGAAACTTTACTACGGAATTAATTTTCATATGTAGTCAAAAAGGTGTAAACATGATAATAAAAAACAGCAGTTGTCTTAAACCAATAACACCCAAAATATTAATAGTCCATAGTGTAAGAAAGTGATGTTAAAAAAAAGAGTAATATGTTTTTAAGTCAGTTATGTATTTTCTTACATTACCTCACTCTCATCTTTTTTAAAAAATTATAATAAATGATCATCATCTTGTCTTGTCTTGAAATTTGAACTGGGCTTAGACTTAGACAAAGGGTGATTACAGTGTACCTGTCCCCGAATCGGACATTCCCCTCCTTCATCTGAGATGGTGCCCGAGGGTGACTGTTGTACTGTCCTTATAAAAGGTATGAAAAAATCCCACAAGTGGATTCAAAATATCATTCCAGTACCGTCCGAACTGAGAATTGAAGACGTGTTACATTGCTGCTCCGTTGTTATGATCCGAACCGAGAGTAGGGCGTGTATCATGCCTTATCATCGAACTGCCCGCGATGGAAGAGTTTACCATTCCGTCCGCTCCCTAGCTGCGAAGTGCGGAAACGAATCATTGTTCTCCGAGATAGCTGCGACTTGTGGGATTCCCCCGCAACACTAAGCACCCGGATTTCCTGACATTCTCAGTGCTAAACAATTTTATGCTGAATTTTATGACTCCTCTTTGGATTTTGAGAAATTCGACGCCCTGAAAGATAAGTTGTCTCAACTAATGAAGGTGGACAACAAACTTCAGACAGATTATTTCTGTAATTTGGGGAATGGAGCCAGCCAAGAACTTCCTGACACAAAGCTTGAAGCCAAAAGAGCTCACTCCCATCATCACATCTAACCCAGTCAACCTGGAAACTGAGAAAGATCCTGAGCCCGTTCTCGAACCCAGAGTTCGAGATTCTGAGACTACTGCTACCACCCCTCAGTATGAAGAGACTTCTACATCGGAGCCTGAAACAACTGAGATTGAGCAGATAGCTGAACCGATGGAAGAGGCGCAAGCCTCGGAAATCGTAACTAAGCTAGATGCAGATTCAAACAGACCTGAAAAGAGGAGGAAGAAAAAGAAGAAGAAAAAGACTACTCCTTCTGCTTCCCCTTTGGAATCAGCGCCTACATCCCCATCAGCGTATAAGAATTCCAGTGAAGCCCCCCAGCCTCACATTGCTGCTACTCCGGCTGCACCTGATAGAAACTACAAAGCTCTTATTCGTGGACTCCCAGCAAATTTCAATACAGATGTTATTTCTCTAGAAATAGAGAAATTGGTCTTAAAATTGGTCAAAATCATCCAGTTCAAGAAGAGAGAGGGAGGGGCCTATAGGCTCCACCCATTTTTCCTTGCAGTCATTAGAGAGACGGCCGATCACCTTCAAGTTCTCTTCATCGGAAAGATACAGCAGTTCTTGGTCAGTGTGGGAAGATTCCGCAGCAGTCGGGGACCGCGGCAGTGCTACTGGTGACAAGGGCCTCGGCCTTTCCCAACGGACATGCTTTGCTCCTCCCAGATGCCTAAAGTGTGCGGAAAATCACCGCGCCTTCGAGTGCCAGAAGGACAGAGAGTCACCTCCAAAGTGCTGCAACTGCGGCAAAACTCATACTGCAAATTTCTCTGGGTGCGAGGCCCGCCCCAGCAGAAAACCTTCAAGCTATCGTAGTGTTCCAACTACGAAATCTTCAGCTCATCGTCTAGTATCTATAGTGAAAGAACTTCAAGAACTTTTGAAGAATGAAGAGGTTGTTGCTCTTCTTCAAACCATCCTACAGGGAAAGACCCCTGAACTCCGTGTTTCTCCAACCCACTGAGGCCTACCACAACCACCACATCGAGACTTCTAACACCACTCCCATCATCTCTCGGAGTCTTGCTCTGAAATCAATTTCATACACACTCAGATGAATGAGTTATGGCCCCGACACTTAATAATCATCTCACATAAGCATAAGCACAGATGGATTGTGGTCGTCTTGGGTGATTGTAGGCTAGATGGAGAGATCCCGGCTTCCATGGCTTATCAACAAGCAGAAATTTGAGAAGATTCAGGAGTTCCTGGTCCTTTAGTAACTGTTGCAATACTAAAAAGATTAACAGGTATCTGGTGGCTCTATCCGAGATATTCTTGGGCTGGGCTGTGTGTTATCTAGGTTTTCTTTTGGGTCTTGCACCGCAGCCTGAGTAACAGGCTGGGTGATCACCATCACAATTAATGCACTTTGCCGGCTCGCATATCGGTTTCGTACACAAGTACGAGAAATGTGCATCGGCACATTTCATGCATGCCGTTTCAGCATTGCAAGCCTTCTGCGCGTGACCGTATTTCTGGCAACGGTAACATTGAATCTCGTGGCGGCAGCTACGAAATCTTTTGATTCGTACTGGTGCATTCAGAGGTTGAACAACGGTGTACATCTCTCGATGCTTGGTGCTATCGGGGAGGATAACTATGCCGAGGGGGAGGAGCTTGTACTCATGGCCACGCATCTTCCTCATCTGTTCGATTCTGATTGGACGTAGTCCAATATCTTGTTGGATTTTTCGATGACTGCAATATCAGGTTCGGTTTTTAGTCCCCTGATGACATGGGTGAAAGCCCTTATATAGCAAGACGGAAAAGAGAAAAACCTGGTACGTAAAACATTTCATTCTGGCATTTTTTTCGAAAAAAATGAAATATCTGTAACTATCAAGATTTCTTTTATAATGCTGGCATATATATAAAACTGCTTCTTTTCCAAGATAAAGTAGATGTTGTTGAAAAATTTAAAAAAAGAATAAGTAAACTCCTCCCCAAAACTAGCTATAACTGAAATGGTTTTATTACCAGTCTTTCCTGTTTTTCGTCTCGCTTTCACCCCTGCCTGATGAGAATTTTGAGTTTTCTGCTGTTTGTAGAATCTCTGTCTGTTTAGGAATAGCAGGCGAAGCCCCATATGTAGATTTTGTTTCAGTTGTAGCCTCTCTCTGAGTAGTAGCAGTGGAGTCTTTGTCTGGCTTTTCTTGGTCTTGGGTGGGGTTCCTATTCTTTTTCTTTTTCCGCTCCTTGATCTGAGGCTCCTTTGTGTCGGACTCTTCCGCTTTTTGCTGATCGATTTCTGGCTCTGGGTCGTGCTCCGTCTCCATGTTGACGGAGTTTGCCACTGTACCTTTAGTATTCTCACGATCGGAGCACAGAGCGGACTCTGGGGCTTCTGCAAGCTTAGTGGGGACTGCAGTCATTTCTGGTTCATTTGTCGTGACTGTTTCTAATGCAGTGTCCTCAGGGAAAAGCTCTTCCCTTTTTTCCAGGCAGTATTCAAAATATAACTCGTATTTCTTCCTTTCTGAGTCGGTCTTGCTGCTCTGTAGCCAATTTGTAAAGGTGTTGATCAATCTATACACACTCTCCTTAGAAGAGACATTGCGGGGTACATTTCTGGTGAAGTTCAATCAATCTTGATCTGTTTTCATATCATCGTAAGTTGGAGATCGCTGGGCAGGCCCACCGGTCTGTCGCTTTCCTCCTCGACCGTGTTGATGGTAAGTATCCAGTGTCGCTCCGAGCTCAGTCACAACACAACCATAATCGGTGAAATCCAATGCTTGAATGGTATAGTTCGTTCACCGGGAGTTGGCACTTGGTTCCACCTCCTCGGACGCAGAGTTCATTTCAGCGCGGGGGAGTAAGAGGAAAAACATTTCCCCGTTTGAAATCGAGATAACCTCTAATGCGCGCAAAGACTCCACACGGTTTTTTATAGGTAGTCCAATCAGACCACTATGAAGGGAAACCAGTTTACGAAAGAGACCTTTAACAGAAAATCTGGTAAAAATAAAAAAGTGGTAACAAATACATGTCTAAAATTTTTTTTAATTTCTGAATATGATTAGTTTGTTTTATTTATTTCTCTACCACTACATTTTCAATTCTCAAATATATATGCAAATTCCTCTCGGTCACTTTTAAAATAGAATTTGGTTTCATGCACTCAAACTGTTCACTTTTTAAATAGTCAGCGCAGACTACTTATAAGGAACCGTGTGGAAGCTTTCTGATGTAGAAGGTGATGGCCAAACACAAACAGTGAATTCTTTTTTAGTCACTTACTTCGCTTTATCAACAGCTGTTATACCCTTCGCTATTCTAGCTAATTTATATATAAAAACTTTTTCCCAGCAAAATATCTCAAAAAGAACAAACTATTTAATAAAAAGAGAGAAATATCAACAAGTTTATGAAATAAAACGCACATGTTCAAAATATGCACATGAAGATTGCGAAATAAATATTTTTGTCATACGATCGCCAAATAGCAGCCTTGTTCAAATCCTTCTCCCCAAATTAGCGAAATAGTATCATCCGATACCACGTGATGAAGGCGGAGCCAAGTGCCAACTCCTGGTGAACGAACTGTAGGTGGGTCTGAGCTGGGCGCCGGTACCTTCCAATTATTCGAGATCGCAACGAACTATAGGGGGCGTTGTTGTATGAGACTAATACCTGCGATTTCTATATGAACAGACATTCAATTACTCTGGAGACGTCTTTAATGTTGCGTGTAACATTGTAACGTTCCTTCCTTATCCTAGCTTATTAAATTTAAAAAAGAAAAATGTTTTATAGCCTTTCTTATGCAACCGAAAACAAGATGGCATCGCTTTTTTTAAAGAAGGAACATCCAAAACACATCTGAAAAATATTTGTAAATAAACAGAAAGAAATATGTATCTTCTTATTAGTGTTAAACCTAATGCCTGAGAAATAGTTTTACTAAATTTAATGATATAACCTGAGAGGCCTATTTAAACTTTACATTCCATAGTTTAAAGAATCATAT